CAACCAATGCGTGTTGCCAGTGACGACCTATGGTACTAAGACGTGGTCCTTCACTGCTGGCCGAATAAGGAAGCTCAAGGTCGCTCAGCGAGCTATGGAGAGGGCTATTCTCGGAGTTTCTCTGCGTGATAAACTTAGAAATGAGGATATCCGCAGTAGAACCAGAGAGACCTACATAGTCCAACGGACTAGTAAGCTGAAGTGGCAATGGGCCGGCCATATAGCTCGAAGAACCGACAACCGATGGAAAAAAGGTTCTAGAGTGACGGCTTCGTACCGGTAGGCGAGGTGTAGGGCGACTCCCCACTAGATGGAGTGACGACCTGGTAAGATATGCAGGAAGTCGATGGATGCAGGTGGCTCAGGACCGTGCTTTGTGGCATTCCTTGGGGGAGGCCTATGTTCAGCAGTGCACTTGTGAAGGGCTGTAATGATGAATGATGATGCCTTAAGCGTATTAAAATATTTATAACGTAATTATACGTAAATTATTACTATACTTCAAATTTTCCAATCATTTAATATCAAATATCAATTTAAAAATATACTTGGAAAGTCCAAAAATGCACGATTCATAATGCTCACATGTTCGTGAAATAATAATGTAAATTGTAGTTCTATTCTTCAAAGAGTTCCAGTAGCATTCACCGAAGTACATTTTCAAGTCGCTCTATCAAGTCCGGAGGTAAGGTCTCATCATATCCTTATTACATTACAATAGCTAATGTAAAACATTCGAAAACCAATGTGCTCTTAAATGGGGAGGAGTTGAGTCTTGTGGATACCACTGTTTTTCTTGGTATTACTATTGACGCGAAACTTCAATGGGGCCCCCATATATCTTAATTAGCAAGCAGACTTAGTTCTGCAGCATATGCTGTAAGAAAGATTAGAAGTCTCACAGATGTTGAGACAGCTAGATTAGTCTATTTTAGTTACTTTCATAGCGTAATGTCTTATGGAATTTTGCTATGGGGTAATGCGACTGATATTGAAGCTATATTTGTTTTGCAAAAGAGAGCCGTACGGGCGATTTATAATCTAAATTGTAAAGAGTCTCTCAGAGAAAAATTTAAAGAAATAAACATATTAACTTTGGCATCGCAATATATTTATGAAAATATAATTTATGTACATAAAAACAATAGCCTTAATAAGAATAAGGATGTTCATACCTTAAACACTAGGAACAAACATAAGCTTGTAATGCCAGTTACTAGACTCCACAGAATTAGTAATTCATTTATGAGGCAATGTATACGCTTTTACAACAAAATCCCAGAACATGTTCAAAGTTTGTCAATAAACAAGTTTAAAATTTTTATTAAAGAAAAACTGTACAAAAAGGGTTATTATAATATCAAGGAATACATGAATGAAAATAACCCCTGGGAACACCATGCTGGTTCTATGAAAAATCATTAAAAATTTTATAAACAAAATTATTGTTAAGTGAAATTATGTTTAAAAAAAGTCCCGCTGGGTTTCTTGCTGGTTTTTCCCTGGACAGACGTATTTTCCGAACCAGTGGTAAATGAAATAATGACTTTCAATAAGTATTATGTAATAATCCATATTGAATAAAAATCATTATATTCTATTCTATTCTATAACTAACAAAATGAGGCCAAACTCGGCACATCTAGTTTTCCTAGTCGAGGAGTTCCAGAAGCAGTCTTCAAAATACACTTTTAAGTCACTCTGTCAAGTCCGGGGGTAAGTTCTCATCATAACTAACAAAACGAGCCCAAACTAGGCACAACTAGTTCTCCTCGTCGAGGAGTTTCTGTAGCAGTCATCAAAGTACACTTTCTAAGTGGTGAAAATAAACTATTATTATTATTATTATTATTATTATTATTATATAAATCCTGCGTGCTTTTAGGGAAACAAAATATTGTAATAAAAATCTGTGATTATAAAAATAATAATAATATCTTACCTTGCCTTGGTCAAGTATGTATCAAATTTGGTATTTGGAATATTTTGTATTTCAACACCTTTCAGGCCCGTCAAGAACGATCATGCACATTTTTTTTAAATTCCCGCGACGATTCGTTTCAATTTTCTAGAGCCAAACCGTCACCACACGATTGTGCATGTATTACGCTCTATAATAAATTGTTCGCGCAAAACTCTGTTGTCGGAATCGACACCAGATGTCACTCGGCTCGGCGCGATTCCGGTCTGAAGTTCTTCCGAGCGTGGCAGTGGCGCGCAGGTCGCAAGCGAGTCAGTCATCTGCCAGATGTGCTAATGTTTGCACGCTGTTAATTTTGTGCGGGAACCGCGGAATAGTTAGGGCGTCTAGTAAATATCCTGTCTAGGAATTATAACGCGCATTCCCTGTTTGGATAGCCTTTCCCGGGACTTATTGGGTCCGACTCAGAATCTGTATAAGTGCATTCGACAATATAAGCTAGTGCGGCCTCTGTATTTAGAACTATCTGTTGCACGCGAAACGGTAGTGACCTTTGACCCAGAAACTCCGGGCGTGTTTTGTGCGGTAACCTTATACCCCGCGATAGTTAGTGGCTTCTGTAAGCTAGTTAATAGTACGATAGAGTTAAGTGACTGTCATCGTGGTGAACCAAGAAAGTGACTGTGGATAACCTCGAAAGGCCCCCTCAAGTTGGAGCGGTGTCGACGCTCGGGCTGCTGCCGACGGCTAAGGTCTAGGTTCAATCACCATCAGTCACACCCAGATACACACCACATCACCATTCTTTCCCTTGCACTACACAACCACATGCGACCTGACCGACTCCGGAGGGACCAGTCGCCTTGGATAGAGGTAAGTGCACTCCGCCAAATTCCTTCCGGTCGACTGGCCGTAGTATAACGCTCCCCCATATATTTAGTGTAATTAGAGAGATTCCACGTGGCACATTGAGCCCGACCTACGTCTGCTCGGGAGGACTTCAGCTCATGGGCCCCTGAGGATCTGATCCTTTAAAGGGAGCAGCCGTAGGCCGTAACATAAATAATAATTTTTGCGCGTTTTGCCGTTTAGTAGGCATCAGTGTTTATTTCTTCTGCATATCAATGATATGTTGCAAACCGGTAGCATTCATTGTTATGCGAATGACAGCACTGTTTATGCCCTATACACCGGCCGTGCCAATATTTCTCGGGAAAACGTCGCCGAGTACCGGAACAAACTTGTGTCTGAAGTCGAGTCTTTGCTGGACAAAGTCTCGGATTGGGGGCGACTAAATCTAGTCCAGTTTAATCCTCAGAAGACACAAGTTTGCGCATTTACCGCTAAAAGGAATCCCTTTGTCGTATCTATTCAGTTTCAAGGTACTCCCCTTATTGCCTCAGCCAGTATCGGAATCCTCGGCGTCGACATATCAAGTGACGTGCAGTTTCGTGGTCACTTGGAAGAGAAGGCCACATTGGCCTCTAAAAAGCTTGGCGTGTTCAGCAGAGAGGGACAGTATTTCATGCCGGCACAACGCCTACAACTTTACAAGGCGCAGGTTCAGCCTCACATGGAATACTGCTCCCATCTCTGGGCTGGGGCTCCCCAGTGCCAGCTCCTTCCACTTGACCGCATCCAGCGCAGAGCGGCTCGAATCGTCGACGACCGAGTTCTTTCCGATCGGCTCGACTCATTGGCGTTGCGAAGAGATGTTACATCTCTTTTTTTGCATTTTCTTTCGCATTTACCACGGGGAGTGCTCTGAGGAATTGTACGGATCAATTCCAGCCGCCAAATTTCACGAACGCACATCGCGGCAGAACTCCCGATACTATTCGCACCATGTGGATGATTGGCAGTCCAGCACTGTGCGATTAAGAAGATGTTTTCTTCCTCGCACAACTTCCTTGTGGAATAGTTTACCACCAGCGATATTTTCGGACCGATGCGACTTAGGGACCTTCAAGAAAAGAGCCTACTCCTTTTTAAAAGGCCGGCAACGCATCTGTAATTCCCCTGGTGTTGCAGTTGTTCATGGACGGCGGTAGTCACATAAGATCAGGTGAACCGCATGCTCGTTTGCCCCTTCTCCTATAAAAAATATCAGTGAGGTGACAAAGATGGCAGCGTGTTGTGACGTTGGTGACGGTAATCGTAAGTAATATTTTTTTTGCAACTTTTAGTGCAAACATTTTGATCTTGATGGTGTTTCGTAGACGTAATCAATGTTTACCCATTCAATAGGTTTTTACCGTAGAAACGTATAGTTTTTAAAAAAAGAAATTACACCACAAATTCAAATAATCACGATCGTGGCGTTCAGGTCTATCTTGACTTTAGACGATTTTAGGTAAAAATTTTCATTTATTGAATTTGTTTGTAATTATTTTTATTTTTGACAGGTATTGAACTTATCAGTGATTTAGTATTACATCTACTTGGGGATGGCAATGATTCAGAGGTAGGAGAACTAGACGATTAAAGGGAATTATCTCTCCAAAGGTCATCGATCCCTGCTGATGGAATTTCGACTGCGCCGTCTCCATTACCATCACCGCCTACACGACGGCATATTGTAAATGTGGGCCAAAGACACTCGGAAGTCAGAAGAAGAATTTGGAGACAGGTACCATTCAATAAAAAAGAACATAACTACCTGCCACGGGCTCCTCCAGTTGCAATTAGAGGGCCTTTAGAATATTTTAATGACTACTTTGATAACAAGTTTTTTGAACATTGTGCTAGTAACAACTACTACATGCGTCGTACAGGTCGGATTCTAAATATCAATTCCATTGAACTAAAAAAACTTGTTGGCATTCATTTGATCATGGGTGTCATCTAATACCCACGGCTTTTCATGTATTGGAGAGATGGGATACGAATGGACATGGTGGCAAACAGAATGACTAAAGAAAGGTTCAAGACACTGCGTTCGGCTTTTCACGTCGTTGACAGCGATACTGCTCCACCGGCTAATAACACACTATGGAAGGTCCAATCGATACTTGACCGGGTCAAAGAAGCTTATGACCGATTGGAAAGACAGCCGGGATTTTATTCTACTGACGAATAAATGCTACCGTTTAGCGCTGTTTGTCCACGTGGGCTGCGACAAGTGTTCAAAGGTAAGCCTCGACCCCAAGATCTAAAGATATTCGTGGCCACAACTCATGAAGATCTTATGATAGACTTTGAAGTCTACAGAGGTGCCAACACTCCGTTCGGCGACAGAACTTTGGGAGTTGGGGTATCAGTAATCTTACATCTCTCAAAGTCGATTCCAAGAGGGAGCTGTATTTATTTTGATCGCTACCTCTCGTCGATACCTTTGCTTGAAAAGTTGAACACCATTGGACTGCACGGCACATCGACGCTAATGATGAACCGAAAACCAGAACGCAAAAACATTGATTTCAAACCTGACCGCCGAATACAGCGCGGTGAATCACAGCAGTTCGTCTGTGACGATATGGTCGTAATTAAATGGATGGAAACAACTTTTGTGAAGCGCTGGGATAAAAGTACCTCAGTATTCATGGACATCTCCGCACCAAACACCATCACTAACTACAACAGGCACATGGGCGGTGTAGACATCCTTGACCAATCAATGGAATATTACCGCACTTTCATGAAGACAAGAAAATGGACACTGAAAGTAATACTTCATTTCATTGATCTGGCTGTTTGTAATGTATAGCGCTTGTATAAATTAGAATGCGCAGCAGCTGAGATCTCGAGCAACAAAACCATGGACTTGTTTGACTTTAGAATGCAAGTAGCCGATGGACTAACAAGCACACTTATTCGTGGAAGAAGGACTCCAAGTGATGATGCTGATCAAGCCGAGAATTTAGAGCCAAACACGCCAAAGTTTAGGAGATCAAATCAACTATCTCAAGCTAAAAGGTATGAGGGCTATGACCACCTCCCAAGCTTTGAAGCAATCGACGATCACCGCACATGCCGAATGAACGGATGTAGAAGTCGATCAAAGTTTAGATAATGATATCTTATATTTACGCGAACACTACACATTTTTAAATAAAACTAATTTTACGGATTTTATCGCGTATATTAACTTATTTTTAACTTATTTTTATATTCCCGACGTTTCGGGTGCTTTCAGCACCCGCGGTCACGGGGGACTGAGTTGTTTGACGTCCTGCTGTCATAGTTAGCCCGGCTACCTTCAGTTTTTTAATATTAATTTTTGGTTCGATTTACGCAGAATGAGCTTACAGTATCTTGAAGTCTAGCAGTGGTATACTTGGGTTTGGTTTTGATTTTATTAATTATGGGATCCCAAGCAGATGGCAGCACCCATCCATCTTCTCTATTGAAATTAGGATGGTTTTTTAATTTCAATAGCCTCTCGAATCATCCTTGGGAGGAATCGGTGTTCTTTTGCGAGGATTTGTGGTCTATCAAATCTAATGTAATGACGGGGACGATCCTGAACATGTTCACAAACTGCAGACTTCCCGATACGTCGGTGCTTCACGTCAGCTATATGTTCTTTAACGCGGGTTTTAATAGATCTTTTTGTTTGTCCTGTGTACGAGAGACCACATTCACAATCCAGCTTGTACAGCTTACTATAGGACGTAGTGGAGCGTTTGGTTTGTGTATTTTCGGTAACCAATACAACCTCGGTGGTTTGGCACATGATGGTATTGTCGAATTCACGTCAAGATCTAATTTTTCGGAGTATTTCTTTATTAAATCAGTAATTGTTTTGAGTGTATTAGTTGTAGGGTCTATTTTGACCTTTTTGTATGTACTTACGTCCGATAAAAATCGATAATAAATCGAGTCACAGACAAGGTTGGCTACATCTTGAAGCGAGCTTCCATTAAAACGTACTTCAAGCCGCTGAAGAAGATTGGTCAATTTTTACCATCCGTCAACTGTCATATCCCTCTACAAGATGCAGGAGTGTACAAGCTGGATTGTGAATGTGGTCTCTCGTACATAGGACAAACAAAAAGATCTATTAAAACCCGCGTTAAAGAACATATAGCTGACGTGAAGCACCGACGTATCGGGAAGTCTGCAGTTTGTGAACATGTTCAGGATCGTCCCCGTCATTACATTAGATTTGATAGACCACAAATCCTCGCAAAAAGAACACCGATTCCTCCCAAGGATGATTCGTGAGGCTATTGAAATTAAAAAACATCCTAATTTCAATAGAGGAGATGGATGTGGTGCTGCCATCTGCTTGGGATCCCATAATTAATAAAATCAAATCCAAACCCAAGTATACCACTGCTAGACTTCAAGATACTGTAAGCTCATTCTGCGTAAATCGAACCAAAAATTAATATTAAAAAACTGAAGGTAGCCGGGCTAACTATGACAGCAGGACGTCAAACAACTCAGTCCCCCCGTGACCACGGGTGCTGGGAAAGCACCCGAAACGTCGGGAATATAAAAATAAGTTAATATACGCGATAAAATCCGTAAAATTAGTTTTATTTACAAAGTTTAGATGTAAAAAAATGTGACGTGTATCTGTGTCTCTCGAGGAAACAAAACTGCTTTGCTGCTTATCATAAAAAAATAATAGCGATATATACTAGTTTTAAAGCCCGATGAAGCAAAAGTAAAGCCTGATTTAGTTTTGATCTCAATTGTAGTGATTTTAACATGTTAGATATTTGTAAGTTGTTCTTCTAATTAACGCATTGAGTACCGTACGGTACGTCTCATTTAGCTTGAAGCTTAGGAGATTTCCCTTTGCTACGAACTGGATTGTGTAAACACACTAGTGAACCTTCGTTAAACCCCTTGTTGTTCATTTTGCGGTCATACCGTGTTTTCATCTTCTCAGACGTTTGCTGGCCCGTGTGTCTGACGTGCTCATAAATGTCATTCATTTTGTTCCGCAAGTCATTTGCATAATCGGTTATACTGCGTGGGGCATCAGGTGGTATCTCGGTGATTAGGTCTGCAAGCAGCCGTAATTCTCTTCCAAAGTTTGCAGAAAGCTGGTGTCACTGATGTACTTTCGTGAACAGCGCTTTGATATGACAACAAAAACGGTTGTATATGCCTGTCCCAGTCTCGTTGCCGTTTTTCCACAACTTTTGCTAGGTACCTCTCCAATGTCTGATTAAATCGTTCTACCATTCCATCAGATTGCGGGTGGTAAGAAGTTGTTCTTGTTTCATGAGTACCCATAACTCGGCAAGTTTCCTGGAATATTTGAGACTCAAAATTCCTTCCTTGATCGCTGTGAATCTCAAAAGGTACTCCAAAACGATAGAAGACTTCATTAACCAGTTTATCTGCAACTGTTTGAAGCTTCTTGATTTGGAATGGCGAAGACTTCTGGCCACTTAGTGAAGTAATTCCATCACAACTATGAAATACTTGTTACCACTTTCACTTTACGGAAACGGCCCCGCAACATCAATGGCTATCCTATCCCATGGGCGCAATAACATTGTACAATTTCAATGCGCCTCTACTACGAGTTTCAGGTCCCTTTACAGCCGCACAACTTGTACATTTGCGGCACCAGTCCTCAACATCGTCACGACAGTTGACCCAGTAAAACCGTTCTTGGATCTTTAGTAGAGTTCGTTTAACTCCCAGGTGGCCTCCTGAACAACCATTATGATACAGCTGTAGAACATCCGTACTTTAGCCTTAGAGACAATCATTTGCAAATGACAACTGTCTCCCCGACAATTTTCCCATTTACGGCACAGGACTCCATCCTGAATCAGGAAGCTGTCCCATTGGGCCCAATAGCTTTTCGTGGTCGAACTCATCGCCGAGACGTCGCTCCACTTGGTCTTAGGAGCACTGGCCTTCATCCATTCCAGAATCGGCTTGATTTCCGAATATTCCTGCTGTATATGTTGTAGGCTGTCCTTCCACTCATTGCTGAGCTGGTCTGTCCTGAGCATTCTCATAGATACCACTTCCTTACCCTCTTGTCTAGTACAATGATTGCAATCATCAGGGCAAGGTCTTCTTGATAATGCATCGGCATTGCCATGAGATTTCCCGCTGCGATGTTCGATCACAAAGTCATATTCCTGCAGTAGTTCAATCCATCTCCCAACTTGTCCTTCCGGATTTTTGAACTACAATAGCCATTTCAGTGCAACATGATCAGTTCATAAGTGAAATTTCCGCCCAAGAAGATATTTCCTGAAATGCTGCAGGGAGTTTACCACAGCAAGCAATTCCCGTCTTGTGATACACTATTTCCTTTTCGGCTTTGACAACAACTTGCTGAAGTACGCTATCAAAACCTCTTGATCACCATTCAGTTGAGACAACACACCGCCAAGTCCTGTATCACTTGCATCTGTGTCGACTATAAATTCCGTCAACTATAAAATCAGGGTACCCTAAAATAGGTTTTTGCACAGACGGTCCTTGAGCTCCTGGAATGCGGTATCGCAACTTTCACCCCGGCAGAAATGTCGCTTCTCCTCGGTTACCTTGTGCAGAAGTTTGGCTATATCTGCAAAGTTTTTCACAAATCGCCGATAATAGGAGCACAAACCCAAAAATGCTCTTACCTATGTCTTGTCTTTTGAAACCCGGCCAATTCCTGACAGCGGCAATTTTCTCTGGATCCGTGCGGATACCTTCTTCCGACACTAAATACCCCAAAAAGCTAACTTGCCGTTTGAATAGTGAGCATTTCTTCGGACTCAACTTGAGGTTGGCACTCTCGATCTTCGTAAGCACGCGTTCCAGGTTTTGAAGATGTTCCTCAAATGTACGGCCTACGATGATGATGTCATCCAAGTAAACCAGACAGGCATCGCCAATCAGCCCGGTAAGTACAAGCTCCATCAACCTTTCAAACTTGCTGAGCATTGCGCAATCCAAACAACATGACTTTAAATTGCCACAGACCCTTTCCTGTGGAGAATGCAGTTTTTTCCTTATCCTTAGGGTCAATTACAATCTGCCAGTAGCCACTTTTCAGGTCCAGCGTACTAAACCACTTTACGCCTGTAAGCATGTCCAGCGTGTCATCAACTATAGGCAAGGGATAGCTGTCCTTCTTCGTCACGTCGTTCAGGCGGCGGTAGTCAACACAAAACCGCATGCTGCCGTCCTTCTTCTTTACCAGTACCACAGGTGAACACATTGGACTAGATGAAGGTTCAATAACGCCATTCTTCACCATTCCCTCAATCATGGTTTCCACTTCCTTTTCACGTGCTACAGGCAATCTTCTTGGCCGCTGACGAATGGGCAATTCTTGTACTGTATTTATATTGTGTTGAACTAAGCCAGTCTTTCCTACGTCAGCTTTGTTTGACGAGAAAACATTGGTGTACTTGAGTAACAATTTCTTCGCCTTGAGCATTTCATTCGGGGAGAGAACGCCGCTAGAGGTCTTCGAAAAGTGTGGTCACTCTCGTTTGTGCATCCTTGCTGGGGGTCCCAGTCGATAGATATTCGCACCGACACAACCAATCCACTTCCTCACTAGTACCAACCAATGTGCTTTTTTCTATAATCTGTTCCTGATCACAAAGATTCAACACACGTTCTCTTGAGATGCCGGTGGTTGTGACCAAGGTTCGAGCCACATTCCATGGAAGGTCATTGTCTACCCTTTCTACGAGTACACAACGATGAGCTTGCCCAGGATTCCGAGGAAGACTAACCGGTACAATCGTTTCCGATTTCGGCGGAAAAACAATCTTTTAAAGGCTGTACACATTCCCTGGTAACGTAATTATTCCACAAAAAATTCCTCTTGTCCACATTTCAAAACACCTTGCTTTACGTCGATCTCACAACAATTCATCCTCATAAAATCTAGGCCCAGAATGCAGTCGTCCATTATATCAGCTACGATGACATTATGCAGGTAGATCATGTTGCCTAGCTTCAACTCCATCTCCTTCTCTCCACGGACGGGTATGCGCTGACCGGTGGCTGTCACCAAATTAATGCGTTCTCGGTTGTATGCAGAGTCCCCTTATAAGTTGGGAACTCACAACCGTGCGACCGTGCATGATCAGTTTACACGGCGTTCCATTGACCTCCCCCCTTGATTATTAGGCTGTTCCCATCATGGGTTTGTGAGATCAAAATCTTTGGGGCTCTTCTAACATCAGCCAGCACCCGCCAGTTTTCCTGCTGCTCCTGGGCGGTGCTGTTAGCCGCACTACCCTCTCGAGATCGATCACCTTCCCTTTCTAGAGTTCGCTTAGGGCAGCTGGATCGAAGATTGCCCCTTTCCTCACAGCCTTAGCAACTAGGGCTGTATGCTTTATTGCGGTCGCGAACTGTAGCTGCTGCAACCTCCCTGACCCGATGGGAACGATGATCCTGCCGCACGGTTTCCACCTCCAGTGCATGGGTCGGAGGCGTCCTTAAGCCTCTCGTGGTGCCCGAGCCTCACAGCAGCTCTTACTTCAAGGTCGCGGATGGCGTCGATGAATATCTGCACCAGGTTCCCTACAATGACCGCAGGTACAGACTGGTATGCTTTTCGAACCAGCTTCTCCACCTCAAGGGGCCCACTGCTGCAGGTTTTCGTTACTGCGTTGCACGCGATCTTTGAGCTGCGCACGAAAGACATGTTCCAGGTGAGCATCGCCATATCTCGCCACCAATGCTTCAAGGAGCTGCTCGTTAGTCACTTCCTTACCGAGAGCTTCCAGAACAGTTAAGGCCTGGTCGCGCAGGCCTAGGGTGAGAGCAGTCATGGCCTGACTTTTATTCCAGCCGTTCGCCTTCATGACAGCCTCGAATTGGATTTTGTAGACCGACCAGGAAGTAGTCCCGTCGAAAAACGGCACTTTGAATCCACGTAGCGAAGGTGTTGTAGCTACCACGGGAGCTGTAACTCCATCCCCAAGTTTGAGGTCGTCCAGCGTTTTCTTCACGTCAGCCATCACGTTGTCAATCTGATTGTACACTTGGTCGATTCGGGTTTCAGCTTCCGACAGGAAGTTGTCATACTGAGCAACCTTATCCTTCACCTCCCTTATTTCTTTCCCGAAGGTAGCGTGAAGGTCCTTCATGAGAAGTATCTGCTCTTCCTTATCGCGTTTGAGCTGCTCTTCCCACCGACGGCCCTGTTCCTTCTGTTGGCGGGCCTGTTCCTCCTGTTGGCGGGTCTGTTCCTCCTGTCCGCGCTGCAGCTGCTCTTCCAACCGACGGGCCTGTTCCTGCAGCATCATTATCAGAGCACCTAAGTCAGGTGCTGCAGATGCAGGAGCTGCTGACGGGCCAGCCTCCGTGGTCAGCAGCTGGCCCTCCGATGTTTGAGGCGTTGCACCACCAAATCGTCTCTGGTCCGTCTCCCGTTCGCGTTGACTTCGGGTATGGATACCCTCCATGTCGTCTTTAGGTAAAATCGGCATATTTTATTCCACTTCTGACACAAATTGTTACGAGCTTGGGGTTCTAGACAATTAAAAACTGCCGATTGAATTACCAAAATTGACACTTTAATTATAGAACACTAATTACAACTTAGAAACACTAATAATAAAACACAATTGTACTACTGAGTTCGCAGTTGTATCGCTTCGAAGTATTCGTTTATATCGCCAATTCAATACTGCCCTAATCGTGGTCTATACCGGCTTTGTATAGGGCCT